CCCAGAATTCAGAAGCAAGCTGGCTGGGGAATTCTGGGAGTTGAAGTCTACACAACTTCAAGTGGTTGAGGAAATTACTCTAGTAAAATAACGCTTTGTTTTACTTCATGGATACCCTTGAAAAGTATAAAATTCACTTCTAAAAGGCAGTTTGTCCTTGGGGCTTTTAAAGGAACTCTGCATGCAGCACACAGCTGCAATCTGACACCCGCGGCGCATATTTTATCCTTAGCAAATAAACGGTGCTTGCACAATAATGTCAACCTGTACATGACCAAACTACAATGACAAAGTAGAAGCCAAGTTATTATAGGAGGTCTTATCTGAACCAGACTCTCATGTAGTTTATTGTGTGAGCACATCCATCATGGTTTGCTAGCCATGGCTTACAGCTTAGTGTGATGGACAAGCTCAGCTGGTTCCCACTGCTAATCAGCTGAGGCTTCAGGAAAACCCAAAGACAAGTAAATGCTTAGATTGGAAGGTGGAAATACAAGAGGAAAAAAGAGAAGAATTTAAGGCAGTTTTTTTAAAATGCGAAGGCTTTGGAACACCCATAAAGCTAGAGAGAATAGGTTATGGGTACAGCGAAGGTTAATTGAAACCCACTCCCTACTGTCAAAAGGGCTTTTTCTCCTTGGCTGAGCTGGCAAAATCTCCATGGCAATTTGCCCCAAACAGAAGGCAAATAAGGCAATTCTGGATGGCTCTTGGTTTCTGCATCCTGTAACCACACAAATGTGTGCCTTTTCAGACTTTAGAGAGGGGCACACATCCACCCCACCCTGTTCCAGTCCTTTGGCACTGCTGGATCTGCCCACTTTATAGAGAGGGTGTCTGGGTGAGGTTGCTTCTCAAGTTTTAGCCTGTTCTGAAAACTCTCCGTGGAGGTTTAAGCCTGGAGAATCTGAATGGAATGTATAATCTCCAAATAATGAATAAATAAGGAGGATTCCTACAGGAAGAAGTTTGTCTGCTTAAATCAAGGGTTTCCAAACTTGGTAACTTTTAAGACTTGTGGACTTCAACTCCCAGAATTCCCTAGCCAGCCTGGCTGGCTGAGAATTCTGGATGTTGAAGTCCACAAGTCATTGCCCAGAGCAATGGTTCTCAAAGTTGGCAATTTGAAGATGGGTGGACTTCAACTCCCAGAATTCCTAGCTGAAGTCCACCCATCTTTAAGTTGCCAAAGCCAAGAAACACTCAGCTGGAGTGTCTTTGCACAGCCTTTCTGACCTTAGATCACAATTTCCAGAATTCCCCAGCCAGCATACTTCAAGATATATGGATTTCAACTCCCAGAATTCCCTAGCCAGGATGATTCCATGCTATCAGGAGATGATCTCTTGGAATTATGAAATGAAGTAGAATAGCCCGTCTCTTTTGCCAATAACCTGGTTGAAATTGCAGTAGGGCAAGGAATCAAAGGATTCATTTATATTTTTAAATGACTCTTGGCATCCGTTTTAGGAATCCTTTGAGAAGGCCAAGAAAGGGGAGAAAAATATGTCCACAGTTACTTGCGTGAGTCATACTGTTGTTCTAGATGAGAAAGACTGACTGAAAATTTCCTGTGGATTTGCATTCATGTTAAAAAAGGTTTGGCAGTGATTGAGGTCCTGGTGGAAAAAAAAACAGGGATAGTAAAATATGAAATGCTAGTATGTTTCACGCTCATGTACCTCTGGCTATATACTGCATTTTGAATAGAGAAATGGGTTTATGAAACTTGGATCTCTTTGTACCGAGCCTGCTTAGCTTCATGATGGTTGTTTGAATAATCCAGAACTGGCTGTCACTGCAACGGGCTAAGCAAGAAGCCGAGAAACCACAGGATGTGACCATTTGCAGCTGGCTTCGGTTTTTCCGACCTTCCTGATCATCCTTTTTTGCATCAGATGAAGAACTGAGTTTTTCCGAAGTTTGTGTCCTTTTCTGTGACATTTTGAATACTCCTAACAGCCTCGTTAAGGTCTCAAAGATAAATAAAAACTGGTCTTCTTGGCTCTTGATGGGACACAAAGGTATCAGTTACTCAGAAAAAATGTCCTTAAAGAAGTTAACAAACGTTTTTTTGCTAAGTAAGAAAACTACATCAAATTCACAAAGTTAGTAGAAGTTGAGCTTGGTGGAAAGGAAGCTTTTAAACAATAGCACTGGCTAAATGTAGTTTATGGGATTTTTTTTTAAATGTTCAGAACAACTGCTTTTACCTGAAAAATTATGTCTTATAAATTATATCTGAAAATTATGTTTTCTTGGAGGCTTTTAAGAAGAGACTGGACAGCCACCTGTCTGAAATGCTATAGGTCTCCTGCTTGAGCAGGGGGTTGGACTAGAAGACCTCCAAGGTTCCTTCCAACTCTATTATTCTATGTTATTCATGAAATCCTGTTTGTTCCAGTGATCCATAGCTGATCTACCAGTATTTATTTTGAAACCTGGACAAGTTGATCTTCCTCTGTTGAAAATGTTTGTTGATCTGACAGGAAATTCCGGTTTGTAAAGCTGAGGAGGCCCCTTGCAATTATTGTACAAACTTGGTTAGTATGCTAAGAGGTCCAAAGGATTTTCCATTGAGTGGAAAAGCAAAACTTTTCAATGGGATAGATCACTGATATGTCAACGTGACCACAGGTGTACCAAAGTAGCCAGAATAAATAAAAGACCATCGTTTTGCCCGAAGGCATAGTTGGTTATAGCACTGCTTAGCTGCTGTCTTTTAACTCTGTTCCCTGCAATGTTTGTTAAGTAATGCTGGTTTGTAGCAGGAAAGTATATATGGCTCCATTGAAAAGAGAAAAGGCTGAGTTTGGGGTAGATCCCATATGCTTTTGCCCAGGTTTAGAGACAAATAATATTTTCAATCACCCCTTGATATTTTGTCACCACCTGAGCTGAAATTTTTCACCTGGTTTAGAATGTGCAAAATATTGGCTGGTTTAAATCCATCAACCAAACTGGAAAGCAGAATATTTTAATCTAGTGCAACAAGCAAAAAGGGAATTTTTTTAACCATTTGTTTCTTTCTTCCCCTCCCCCAGAAATATTCTCCAATTGCTTTCAAAAATGATTGGTTACAATAAATGTTGGTCACAATATAAAACGTCTCGTTATAGCAAAAAGAAACAAGCAAATAAAAACAATTGCTTCTGCCCTGATTTCATAAAAGTGCTCTCTCCTACCAGAAACATATTATCTATTGATACCATTCACACAAACGCCAATGATTTAAATTACAATCTTCCTGAAAAGGGTAAGAAAACTGGATACTTACAGGAAGCATACCTGTTTTTATGAGTGCAGCTGATCAAACTGCAGGATCTTCGGGGTGTCAGATACTGTTCCCAGGCAATTTTCAACTTTTTGCTCAAATGGGTTAAATTCCTTATTTTTAGACTGGTAAGAAATATATTCATTTTTTTTTAAAGAAAATAAAAAGTGATTTTCCCGTTCAAATCGACAGATACAGTGGCAATGCCCTGTTAGGGGCAAAGGGATTGCCAAAAAAAAAGGTTAAATTTCAACCTGTCCCTCTATTCTCTTTTGATTTTAGGTTCTGGTGCGGGATGACACCCCTTATGCTCTGTGCTGTTTTTTGTCCCTGAGAAAATATCCACTTTCAAGTCATCTTTCCTTCTACGTAAGAATTTTGGGACTGCGAAGAATACTCTGAATGGGCAATTCTTTTTCCTCTTTTGCACAATCTTCCTTTAAAACACCGCAATATTTGTTCTGGTGTCCTGTTCACAGAAGCATTTTATAGATGGCAAACAGCTGGCTGAAGGACACTGACTCTACAAAGAGGGCAAGGGGAGAGATGACCCTTGATGGGGAAAACAATTGTAAGATTAGTGATATTTGATTTGGTAACTTGCAAATAGGTCTCATTCAGCAAAGCCCCCCTGGAACGCTAAGGGGCAAGAGGTAACTTTCTCTGGTTTTAGCAGGATCTTAACCTTCAAGGACAAGAAAATCATCTTCACCACCTCCAGGAATAAGGAAACCCCCCAAAGCCCATTAGACATCTTGCATTTCTCTTCTATAAACTATGAGAGACAACCTTTGTTCTACTATTGGAAACTCTTTATGTACAGAGAGTTAATTTTTACCATAAATTATAGACTAGGTTGCTAGAATGTGCTCAAAAAAAGGCCCTAAACTGATTACACCAAGTCTGGATAATGTAAGCTTCAAAACATTGGCTCAGTCAATCTGGTAGGCAGGAACTAGCTGGCCCTGCCCTGATATTTAAGGGGAGCCCAAGAAAAATCAAGGAATAGAATGGCTGTTCATTTTTATTGAAGTTTCTGTGGCCTGAAAGATATAATTTTGGTAGGACTATCTACCATGACTTCTTTGAGCTCATGTAAACCGCTCCTTGTATCATCAGTGATGATGACATAGATGGTAGATATGGTGACTAGCCATATTTTCTGTTGGCCTTTGAATTTTCAAAGCATCAAAGTCTTCTCCAATGATTGTTGACTTTGTACAAAGTTGAAAATATCAAATGTTGGCTTCATCATTAGTGCTTTCAACGAGGAATCTTGATCAGGCACTGGGTGGTTTGTTTTTCTACTGTTCCAAGGTGTAATGCCAAGTCTCCAATTTTTCTTCTTTCAATTTTTCCGAGGGTCCAGCTGTTAGAGCTACATATTAAAACTGGCAAGATTATAGTCCTGACGATATGGACATTTATTGTCAATGTGATACATCTGCACATGGTCTTGATCTGTCACATTCAGGTATCTTTGTCTCCTGGCTAGAAACCGAGAACTTTGGAGCCTAGGAAGATATAGTCCCTTATTAGTGCAGCTTCTCCAATTATTTGCATTGGGTTGTGTTGCTTGTTGTTGACCAAAAACTTGATTCTTTAAACATTGTGCAACAGGCTTGACTTTTGCAAACTCTTCTTCCACTTTAATTTCTATTTTTTTAGGTGATGAGGTGATGATGCCCCATGGATGGCTGTAAGAGAGGATAACTCTTACAGCCATCCATGGGGCATCATCACCTAATCTGAGCTGGTTATTTCTCCCAGCCGTTTAAATGCCAGTTTCGATTTCTTCTCATGATGTGCTCTGCATATATATTAAAAGAACAAGGTGCCATCTTTGCCAATTAAGCTGCTCCAAATTCTGTTCTGTTGCTTCTTGGTAATTATATAATTATAAAATATATTGTTCAACAGGCTGTCTGCATTATTAGATGTGCTCATGTACGATTGTACAAAACAGCAGAAACAGCTTTTTTAGTCCAACTTTCCTGGAAGGGTGGGGGGGCATGCTGGCTGGGGAATTCTAGGAGTTGGAGTTCATCCTTCTTCAAGATGCCAAGTTTGAAAAATATTGGTTTGTCTGAGAAGGTGCACATTTTATTGATTTGGTGCAGGATACTCCGACCAAAATTAAGATCCGAAGCGGAAACCTTCGCTTCCATGCAGCCCGCCGGTTCCCCCCCCCCCAAATGGCTTACTACAGCTCCCAGCATGGACGGGGCAAGCAAGGGATCGCGCGCGCGCAAGGCCTTCTGGGACTCCGAGTCCTTCTCGTCTCGGCCGCCCTGCTTGCCGGGTTGGCTCTCGACGCGCCGGCGGCTCCCAAGCGGGAAGCGTGCGCAGTGCGCCTGCGCGCCATCTCGGGTCTAAGGCTGGGGACGCGCTAGCCGAGCGCGCCTGCGCAGCGGCGACTCCGGAGGATCTCTCGCGAGGAAGGACGCCATTATCGCAGCCGCCCGGCCAAACACCACGAGAATTCGGCAAGGCAAACGGTAACCTCGCTTCTCTCGCGGGTTCCCGGCTGCGGCTGCGGCTGCTCGGCCGCGGAGCCCGGAGGGCCCCGGCTTAGACCCTCACAACGACGGAGAGCTCGCGCGGGTCGCCTCACGGCGCCCAGCCTGCCGGGCCGCGAGCGGGAGGGGGCGGGGGTGGGGCGCACAGGGGCGGGGCTTGAGACTTTGCCTCTTCCCCCCCCCCCGCGCCACCCCGTTGCCCCGCCCTACGCGGGCGCGGAGCCGTTCGACGTGAGTCCCGTGCTCTGCCCGTTGGGGGGGACTACAAGTCCCATCATCCGCAGCAAGCGCAGCCCTGGCCTCCAGCCCGAAAGGCAGCACCCCAGCTCAGATTCCAGCCCGCCGGGGGGGGGAGGAGGAGGAAGGAAGCTCCAGCTTCCTGGCTGGGCATGATGGGAATTGTAGACCCCCAATGGGGGTTGATGCTCGGATGGCTAGCTATGCATGTGGCTGAAAGATTACGGAGCCCCCCCGCCAATATTTCTTTTTTCTTAGCAAGGGCTAGAACTGGAGCCCAATATCAAAGGTCGAAGTGATGTTCGAGGTCATGTAGTCGAGCCCTTTTCCCTTGCAAAGCCCTCTTTCTCTCTCTGTCTCTTAGCCGCTCTCAGTGGTTTGTCTAGCAAAGAGAGGGAAGGAAAATGTAAAGAGTAAAGGAAGAAAAGACAATTGAGAAGGGTAGGCACGGTGCTGGGTGCCTGCAGAGGTCAAAGCAAGATTCAGTTTCCTTTCAGTTTAGGGTTTCTTGAAGGACCTGAATTCTTCCAGCATCTTAAACATGAACCAAATTAGATAAGAGCGTGCTTTAATAATAAACGTTCTTTGGGTGAATGAACTGTGTGTATGTATGATAATTCTCTGAGCAGGGGCATTCAGGACAATAAAATAGTACTGTAAAGTGAATTAAAGAAAATATATACAAGTTCCTGTCCCATTGCAATGCTGGACGTTTAAAACGTCATAACGATGTAGACTGAACAAAGAGGTTTTGGGTGGTTTAAAAGCATGGTGTACAATTTATTACCATATATATAACAGGCTGTAGTCCTTGAAAACTTACATTGTATGCAGTTAGTTTAAAATAAAAGGAACTATCATAACAAAGACATTGTAATAATAAGCAGGTATTACATTTGAGTGTACTTCCACTTCATATGAGTGTTTATATAACATACGTTGATGTTTTCACATCACTGTGAAATCGGTAACATTTAGAAGTGGTATTTTGGCCATCAGTTTACCCTCTTTGGACAGCAGAATGGTTTGAAGTAGGGCACACAACTAATGAAAACAAGTTGTACAACCTGCTTTAGTGGAAGCAAAATGAGATCTTATCAAAGAATTGAACTTGAGCAACTGCACATGTATTGCGTGCAAGAAATGTGCAAATGTGTTGAAATTACTAGCACATGGAATGATATGACACAACTCAGAGAAAACTGCAATGAAAAATACATTGCATATCCAGAACAATATCAGTTTCCATCAAGTCAGAAGAATTTAAATAGATACCTACTTCTTTGGGAGTTAGGCCTGGCTTTCTGAATTAAGTGCATGATTGTTAATCCAAGCAATTTACGCTAGTTTTATTTAATTTCTGGCCACACCAGACGTCTATACCATATAACTATACATCTTTTTGAATTAGGAGTGGCTGTTTTTAATTACATGTGTAACTACTTATATTACTTGGATTGCCTGAATGAAATTTGAGCATTTAAAATGGCATTTTCCATAAACTGCATTTGCAAAAAATGGCAGGAAGTTTTTGTAGGTGATTGTGTTATATGGAACACTGCATAATTATATGAATAATACATAGGTTTGCATAAATGAAAAGGACTTTCACAGTAACTTCAGGCAGGTGAAGAGAAGCAGCAGAGGAAAGTGGAAATGGCACATTCAGGGGTGATAATTGAATTATGGGGGGCTCTGATCTCTGAATGACCTGCCTGTCTTTCAAAAGGACCGAGCAGTCGAACTGAATGGAAGTCAGCTGGTAAAACAGATTGGAAATTCTGGGCATAAATGGGATCATCCGCTAATCTTTCTCTAAATATGGAACAGATTAAGAAACTACCTCTGTTGCTATTTTTTCATTAAACGCATATCTTCAAGGGGGCACACGTAATGCTCTCACCATTCTTGTAAAGTTACAAGGCAGCTTTCTCTGTTCCTCTGGAAAAGAGGCCAAAGTAGAATTCCTTTCCTGCAGGTCAGGATATTTCCTTCTTGCTGGTCTTTCCTGCCTGCTTTTTTTTCTTTCTTTCTTACTGCATCCATTCACTTATGCAGGAATAATGAAGCGCTTGCAGTTTGCAGTGGCTGCAGCAGCCAGCTAGAATGGGTCATTACATACTTTGGGGGGGGGGGGAGTGAGAAACAGGAGGTGGTGCCCATCCTTCAGCAATTTCAGCTGGTGTACGCCTTGACTTGATAACACTGCAAAACCAGCATCCAGTTGACTGCTTCTCAATCCCCTTTGGTTGTCAGGATTTTGTTTTCTGTTCTCTTAGGAAAATTGCTGGAAAGCAACTGTTGCTCACAATAAATATTTAACCTCGAAGCTGTGCTGCGTAATTGGTTTTAAGGATGTCAGTAAAATCAGTTGGACAAAGGTATACTGTAATCGATGAGCGGATTCCTTGAAATGGGTGGCAAACAATTACAGGCAAGTCGGGTACCAGCGTTCTCTCCCCTCCCCCCCCCGAATCTGAACTGCTCAAAGTAGCTGTGCAGAATCCGAGCAGGACTTTTGTGACGTGTCAGCATCTTTACTCGCACACAAAGGTTGCTGATTCGAGGAGGAATTGAAGAGCAAGCTTTACATTCTCCCCTTGACCTTTCCTTACCAACAGCCCCTGTTTTTTTTAATTAGGCAGCTCTTATTAATCAGTATTGCACGTAAGGTGATTGCCCTGGGATCAGTCAACTTGGATCAGAAGGTGGCGAGCCGAGGTGGCGCAAAAGTTAGAGTGCAGTACTGCAGGCCACTTTAGCTGACCGTGTTGAGCAGGTCAGCGGTTCAAATCTCACCGGCTCAAGGTTGACTCAGCCTTCCATCCTTCCGGGGTAGGTAAAATGAGGACCCAAGATTGTTGGGGGCAATGTAAATATATAGATATACATTGCTTACTGGTGTACACCGCTTAGAGAGTGCTTGCACTTAAAGCGGTATATAAGTCTCATAAATAAATAAATAAATAAATGAATGAATAAATAAATAAGGTTAAAAGCTCCAGTGGGTCTGTAGACGTGGGAGCCAAGCTTAGGTTGGTAAAGTTGGAACCGGTCTCATGGAGTTTGTAAATGAACTTTGGGAGCTGCTGGAATCAAGATAAACATTTGAGGCCCAGGTGCTTCTATAAGATGGAAGAGTTGGTTAACATTTGCTGCCCAAAATAATACAAACGAGGCAGGAAGATGCTGTATTCTTAAGATTTATCTAATTCCTGTTTGCACTGGGTTTCTTTCTGGTCCATTTTTTTTTTAATATTGGAAAAGGACTTATAGTTTTATTTAATGCAGTAAATATCTGTGGTGTCAGAAACATGCAAGATGCGCTTCTGAAGACACTTCAGTGAACAGAACAGCCTGTAATTTAATCCACTTAAATAAATGTTCTTTTTCAATACCAGGAAAGGCTGTGCGCCCTGACAGGTGCCTCTTTCTAATTAGTCCAACTTCATTGCGTTTTTACTTGAGAGCAGCCAAAGCAGCTTTCCTGTCTTGATGGCTGATCTCTGGATTATGATGCTACAATTCTGGGATGAAGATAATGAAGATTGTTCCATTTTATTATCTTCTGAAGTTTTTGGCTGTTCTGTTCTTCAAAGGAGATGGCTTTTCAGACAAAAATTAGAGCCATGTGGGAATGGAAAATAATTTCAGAATCCAAGCTATCACCACCAAAGATTTAGGAATCTATGCTGTGAAGAAATAGAAGAAACATTAATGTTCTTTAGTAACTCAGCAAACTGATAGTTTGGTTTTCCTGCCAGTTGTGGTTTTACTCCTTCTCGTAAAAGAACTTAGGAGAAGACACGGCTTTTAAACGTTCCTGTATTTCCTGCAAAAGCAACAGATGAGCATATTTATTATGCCCTCTGTTTAACGGATTTCGTTTCTGGCTTTTTCTCCTAAATAGCCTGCACTGGCTGGAAATTCTGGAAATTGTGGACTTAACATGTCAAGGGCTCTGCGGAAGGTGCATTAGAAACCATCAAATTCTTTTACTTACAATTCTACCCCAATCCTTTTTTTTTTTACACAGATTAAGATGTCCTTTTGCCACAGCTTCCCTGAAGTTAAAATGTAAGCAGTCATTTCAGTCCTACCAAAGAGGTGACATAAAGCAGTGGCAGAATTTGCATCAATTTTCATAGGATTGGACCATTGCTTTAAAACTGGGTTCAGAACTTTGACCTAAGACTTGGTTCCATTGAAATCAGTGGGTGTTATCTTCAATTTATTCTAATTTATGTTATTCTATTGTGATTTGGGAACTGATAAACCTGGAAGGAATGGATAATTGAGGTCTTGCAAATAAGCTCTGTTCATTTTTGGACACACCTAAATGGAACTGAAATAATTTACGGTTTTGTTGAAATAAAAGCCAAAGAGCTTGATAGTTCATCGTCTTCATCATCATCTTCATCAGCCATTTTTGTTACTTTGGAGCAACACATGGAGGGAATGCGAGTATCTGTAACAAAGCCATCATTTTAAGGAAGAAAAACCTAGTTGTTTACAATCCACGTAATGTGCAAGGCATAATAATCCTATCATGAAAAAGGAGGAAAATGATTTTCTTAAATAGTTTTAATAATTTAATAAACAAACCAAGCATACTTGACTGGCAAAGGAAGATCTGGTTTTCATTCTGTTTTGCACAGTACACCAAAGTTATCTTGTTTGTTGCCCCAGATCAGGGTGGGCATATTGGAAAAGTCCAGATAACCTTCCGTGCACTGAAAAGT